TAATGTTCTGTTGATGATGAGGGCAGGAAAAGGATATTTCAAGAAAGTGTCAGAAGATTCCATGGATATACAAAGACCTATGCTCCACATTCCCCCAGTGTGCCCCCCCCCCGTGGCCCTAAAATTATACCCAGCAGAGTAAAAGAAGAAGAAAATTGCGTGGAGGGGGGAACACTTCCATAACTCTTCTTTGCTGGATGTATGTTGAGGAATTTTGCAGCATGCTCATTCAAAGATTTATTTTTTAAAAAAAAAGTATGCCTGGGAAATAGTTGCTTTTGAGCAGAATTAGATGATAATTGCAAGTGTACTTGCCTCTTATGAGGGGAAAAATCCAGTTAAATATCTGACAAATATGTAAAGGGTTGGGTTTACAATAATAAATGTGCTTCTATTATTGAGCAGTGCCAGTTATAACTGTGGATACAATACCAGAGAATACAGTGTTTGGGAACTACAGTAATTAACATTTGCTGAAAAGGTACCTATTTAGGCAAATGTGTTGATTTGGGGATGGATCCCAGGTTTCCCATGATTCATTGAGGCCATTCAGAATGTACTAATGCATTGCAAACAGCTAGTCTTGTAAATTTTTTTAGTACCCTCTCATTAGCTATAGGCAAAGGATTCCGCCAAAGCACTGTGATTTGAAAACAGCCAGAAAGTCCTTCTTTGCAATTAGAAGGTAGAATGTCAGTCATATGAATCCACTCTTCCTCTTCCTCACTCTCCCCTATTTCCCAAGTTTGCAATTGCAGGGAGAAAAGAAGAAAATGTTGCAGTCTTTATAGACACAGGATGTGTTTAGAGGTGTGCAGACTAGTGACTGGCTCACCATCTATCTAGGCAGTAGGTAAGCTCCATTAAGTCAGTATGCAGACATGTCATCTGCTGTGGAGTGTACCCTCTTGCTTATGACACTAGTCGGTGGGCAAGAAACACTGATGGACAACCATTGCCAAATTGGGTCAGAATTGGCATTGGTTGCCCAAAGGGAATGGGCCAGTTTAAAGTCCCTCTGGTCCAAACGTCTAAGGTGAAGTGGATGTAAAAGTCAAGACCCACTGCTCAGAGCAGTTCCATCTCTTCCTCCTTGCATTTATGGTAAAGGAGCAGCACCACCTGCCTACTGAAAGTTGTGCATGAGAGGAACTAGTAATTGGGGGCAGCCAGATGGAGGAGGCACTGGATTCTGGCATTTTCCACAGTGTTGAAGGCTGGTCATCCATCATCGGCATAATAACTTGTATCAAGTCTGATGCTTTTGGACCACCTTGCCCCTTGTCCCTGATGGTCGTTTCAACTGCTGCACAGGTGTTTCTGCAGCAAGTGTCTGGATGTTAGTTGCCTATTGCTATTAGCAGTTGGAAAGATGTTCGTATGGTGTGCTGATGTAAGTAGGTAATGGTATCTTTCTTGGGAATTCTGGGAGCTTTAATCTCAATTTCAAAAGTGCCAGGATTTCAAAAGCTAGAGCAGGCTTTCAAAAACTTATATTCAACAAATTGAATAGGTCATCTGCTGCCAGGCTTACTGGCAAGACCTTGGCGGAATTTCCTGGATACTTGATTTGGTGTGGCTTAACTAGACTCTAGACTCGTATTTGGTTTAAAACGCTTGTAACACGGCTAGTCTTTATTGTATAGTAGGAAAAGCCATTAAAGCAGGCAAGTGCCTTCTGCCAACTTGGAAGAGCAATTCCTCTTTTGCAGTTGAATTCTGGCATTTCTATCTCCCACTTCTCCCATTGTTTAATGGACTTTTTGCCTTGTGCTTCTTGATCTTGAAACAGTGCAATCAACGCTTCTGCTCTGAGAAACTCTGGTAGTCAATTCCCACAACAGGCCCATGTAGGATTTGCCAGGTCCTTTATCAGGTTCTATTTTCTATAGTCTCATGGAGGCAGAATTAAAATTAAGTTCTAATTAATGCCTGTTAGGCCATCATAAATATCTGTACTTGACTTGATTGATCATGAGACCTGCTCAAAGTGAGTTCTAGTTTGTGTTCTGCCACTGTTCCTTGTCTTGCATGCTCATACATTTGAAAAGCATTTTAATGTATCAGATTATCAAAATCACTGTAATAAATTCATACATTTTATGTGATTTTTGTTTATTCCAGAAGATGAAAAATTGCTTTAATTTATGTTAGATGGAATAAAGAATATTGTAGAGTTTGGCTCTGATTAGACAATAATGTTGTTGTCAAATGATGATTATTCATCCAAGTAATAATAGTCAGTGGTACAATTGATAAAAGTGTTAATATATTCTATTGAAGATGGTTACAGGTTTTTTTCAAAATACCTTTCCCCTCCTATACAAGGTGGCATTTTCATAAATGCCACAGTGACATCTGTGTAGCTACACTTAAATGTCAGGCTAGTTTTGAAAGCTTCCTTCACAGTTAGCAAAGGTAGCACATTTTGAGACAACTCAGTTTTCAGTAGAGTTTTTCAGTCCCTCTGCTGGCATGGAAATTAAAGGTATCTTTTGGAGAAAAGTTGCCATCTTTTGTCCAGGCTAGACTCTATGAATTTATGGAAGTTAGTGTGAAGGACAGGATGTATGTGCATTACGTTTCCTGATCTGGAACATATTATTTTTAGAACTTAAGGGAGGTTGGCTTCATTGACCAGCGAAGAGAGTGTAGTGGTAGCTGAATATTATTGGAGAGGACTGGCTGAGGATCTTTCCTCTGTGAGGGAGTCAGGAAAAAGGCCTTCTCAGTGAAAGCCCCCTTGTTTTGGAACAGCCTGACACTCCAAATAAGGATGGGCTTTCCCTCTTGTCTTTTTGAAAAGTAAACAAGATCATGCCCCCTTTCAACAGCCTTTTGGGCTGGAAGGCGCAACTTATTTGGAAGCAGCCAACGCAGGGAGGTAACCACTTCTCGTTTTGAGGCCACATGATGTGTTTTATTTGTGAATTTTAATATGCATGTTTCATGTTTGTTTATTATGATGATTTTATTGTGAGTCAACTAGAATCGTTGGAGGAGTCAGGAAATTATTTTAATAAAGAAATGAATAAATAAATCCACAAAGCAGTTGAGAGCTTTGATTGAGCTAAAATCAATTTTTGGTTCAGCTGATACCACCCTAGGGCAGGGTTGGACAGCCCACAGTCCCCAGCCAACATCTTTTATTGAAGCCCTGGAGCCCTCACTGATCATGACACTGACTACTGAACATCCGTAGGGTAGTCTTCTATGTGTTGGGTATGGGAAAATAAGGAAACAGTAGAATTCTCTCTAAAAGAAGGTCAGACCCATTAAAAAAAATAAAAATAAAATAAAATAAAATAATAATAATAATAATAATATAAAATAAAAATAAAAACTCCAACTCCCCAAAATTGACAGAAAAAAATACCAGCCCTTTTCACTGACATGGTATAACCTTTCCCATTTGTGTCATTAACCCCACCCATTGTACCTCTCAGTTCCCCCCAAAACTTCATGTGTTGTCCCCAGATATCAAAAGGTTGACTGTTTTTATCATAAGGGGAGCTTTTATCAGGCATATGTTTGAGGCTTTCAGTTACTTTCAAGGTATAAACCCTTTTGGCAGACTTGGAAGTGGAATGTGCAAGGGCAAAGGTGGGGAGCCCATGTCCATCCCAGATATTAGTAAACTACACTCTAGCCATGTCCACACCTGTGCATTTTGTCAAAGCAACACAAAGCCAATGTTTGATCTCTTAGTAGCAGCGCTGATTAGTCTGTGAAGAAATGGAGGTGAGCACATGCTTCCTGCATAGTTTATAGTATTTAGACACTCTTATCGTGTGAGTGTCCATGTTTTGTCCGGCAGCTACCAGAAGCCACTTTGTGTGAAGGCCAAACTCCATATACTGATGACTTCTGAGTATTACAGGCCAAGGAAGAAATCCCTTGCAACAGGTGTGACAGGAATTCAAGGGCTTCCAAAGCAGTTTTCCTTCAAGTCACTGGCTAGACCCAGAATGGCTGACCTCCAACATGATTATGCACCATCTGCCTTTAGTTTACATCCTAAACTACAGATGATGATAATTTGTGTGTCTGCTCTAAGCTATGCAGTTTACAAAATTCTTCTTTCTCCTGAGCAGGCCAGTTTAATTGTCTTCTAAGATTTTCAAAATGTTCACAATAGTAGGAGCATTATTTTGAAGGGCTTGTGCAAATTTATGCTATTTATTTACAATGTTTGTAATCTGCCTCAATCGTTCAGACTTCTGACAGTTCTCACAATTACAGAAATGGCATTACATTTATTTATTTATTTATTTATATTTATTTATTTGTTTTAAAGATTTATATGGCTGCTCATATTATATAAAATAACTCTAGCTAGCTAGCAACAGATAAACCAGTAACAATACAAAAATTAAAAACTCTAATGCCACCAGTGCCATAACAACCCCATCAGAAACCTACAAATGCTGGGCTTCCCTCCCCTCCTGACCCACTGCCTGGGGGAAAAGCCAGGTTGTAATGGTGTTCTGGAGAACAAGCAGAGTAAGGATCTACTGTTCCTCAGTGGGGAGGCTGTTCCATAAGGTAGGCGAGCTACAGAAAAGGCTCGCTTTCTAGGACCCACCAGATGACAACATTTAAGGGAGGGGACCTGGAGTGAGTCCACCTTTCCAATCTAGTAGGATGGATAGATATCCTCAAGCAGAGTCAGTCTTGCAGATAACTTGGCCCCATGCCATATAGGGCTTTGAAGGTGATAGCCAGCACCTTGAATTGCACTTAGAAAGGAACTGGGAGTCAGTGTAGCACACACAGCAGCTGTGTAACAGAGGCAGACTGTGGGGAGCCCAGAACTGCATTGCTGCCACATTCTGGACCAATTGAAGTATCCGGGCAGTCTTTAAGGGTAGCCCTGTGTAGAATGCATTTCAGTAGTCCAGACAGGAAGTGACCAGGGCATGAGAACCATAGTCAGGGCCTCAGAGTCCAGGATTGGGTGCAATTGGTGCACAAGCTGAATTTGTACAAAGGTAAGAGTCATGAGTCCAGGAGAACCACCACGTTGTATGCCAACTCTGTTTATGGGAGTGCTACAGCATCAAGAGTTAAAGATGGTAACTCTTCTGATCCAGGGGACCTAGAAACACAGAGCCATTCTTTCTTGCTAGGGTTGAATCATAGTCAGTTCTTCCCTATAGACTTTAGAGCCTCTAATTACTGGGTAAGCACCTGAATGGTATCACTTGTCTGGCCTGGGGCAGAGATGTACAATTGAGTATCATCAATGTGCTGCTGATGCTGTACCCCATGCCGCTGGAGTACTTCACCCAGGGGCTTCATGTAGTTGTCAAATAGGACAAGTGAGACAACTGAGGCCTGAGGTACTCCACACAAGAGGGGCCTAGAGATTGATATCATCCCCTTTCCCAACACCAACTGGAATTGGACAGTCGAAGGAGGAGAATCACTGGAAAACAGTGCCCCCAACCCCCTAAACCAGTCCGGAAGGATATCATGGTCAGTGGTATCAAAAGCTGCCAAGAGATCCAGGAGGATTAGGATGGATGCACCATTCCCGTCCCAAGCCCTCCAGAGGTCATCCCCAAGTGCAACCAGTGCTGTCTCAGTAGCACAACCTGGCTTGAACCCCAACTGAAAGGATTCAGATAACCCACTTCCTCCTGGGGCCTTTGGAGAGAGAACGAGGATTTGCATTTCTGTTTCGCTTCGCAGAGAGAATAGTAGAAGACCATGAAATGATTGTTGAAGTCCACTCAAAATGGGGAATTGAAGAAGGCAATAGATTTTATTTCCGAAAAAATTATGCCAAATATGAGTTCTTTAAAAACCCTGAGGTAAGTCCTAATTGCATAATACTTTAATAACATGAATAATCTACTTCACATTTAATATTCAGCATAATTCTTCATAGTTAGTTACAGGAACTCATCAGCTATATCAGGTCTAGTGCCAAAAAACCTTCCAAGCATACCCCATTGTCTCTTTGATTCAACAGACTAATAGTTGAGCCCCATGATTTTTTTTTTTTTTTACCTAGAGTCCAGTAAGATAAAATCATAGAGCAGAGTGGGGAATCCGTGGCCTTCTACATGGTGCTGAAGGACATGTCCTTCAGCACCACCCAGACTACCTAAAGTGCCACAGGTTCCTCATGCGCCCACCCACTGGAAGAAGTGGCATTGCAGGGGATTCATTTTCTTTGTCTTCTGCCCATCTTCTGAAAAGCACAGCTTTGGAAATAGGTGTGCAAAGCCTTGCTTGCCCCAAATCCCTCAGCTACTTCCTATGTATGAACAGAGCTTGAAGGTTATGGTGGCAGTCAAAAATCTTGCTGAGAGACCCTTGACTGCATATTGTTTTATATACACACAAAAGTGACAAATGGTTTTCTTTCAATTTTTATGAGCTGTGAGCTATGTACATTATATGAATTTTCCACAACATGGAACTTTCCAATTGTGCTTGAACACATCTGGAGAAGACTTGGCTGTATTACAAGTAGTCCTCGCTTAATGACTGCCCTTTTCAGCGACTTCAAAGTTATGACAGTGCTGAAAAAGTAACTTTGTGACCAGTCCTCACACTTACAACGGTTGCAGCGTCCCCATGGTCACATGGATCGAGATTTAGGTCTTTGCAATTGGTGGACATTTATGACTGTCGTAGTGTCATGTGGTCACGTGATCGCCATTTGTGCACTTCACAGCTGGCTTCTGCCAAGCAGAGTCAATGGAGAAGCTGGCAGTAAAATTGCATGTTGCAATCACATGATGTCTCACTTAACAACCATGAGTGATTTGCTTAATGACTGCAGTGGAAGCCTGTTGCGGTCACGTGATGTCTCGCTTAACAACCATATCATTTAGCAATGGGGTTGCTGGTCCCAATTGTGGTCGTTAAGTGAGGACTACCTGTATTTTAAGTCCATAGAAAATTCTGACTGGCAACAGAAATGCCTTTCCCATATACACTTCCTAATCCAATGTTTCTCAACCTTAGCAACTTGAAGATGTGTGGACTTCAACTCCCAGAATTCCCCAGCCAGGGCATTCTTTCAGTGCACATTCACAAATAAATCTGGTGCGAAGCTGCTCAATTCCAGTTGATCACTGGAGTTGTTAGAGTTGTTAGAGTTTTCTGTATTGCTTTCTTGCCATCTAGTGGCTTCCTGGGTTTTTTCAGTCTAGATCTGATAGTCCTAATGAAGCCCACAATGTAGCCTGTGTCCAGCTCAAGCCTATGAAATGTTTGGTGCCTTCTGTTAATTTTTTATTTTGCAGATTTTTTTCCCGGATCATTTGGTATCCCTCTCAAATGACAGCAATGGCACAATGAACCATACACAGATACTGCAGGTAAGGTACTGGTTTTGAAATGAAATCATTCACCTGTGGATCAAACCACAAATCACAGTAAGCACGGTTAAGTGGATTCTGTCCTCTGTGTAAAGTAAGCACTGGGGATCCAATTTAATTTTTCCCTCTGAAGCAGCCCTAGTTGAGATTGAATCCCTTGTGCCCGACTTTTATGGTGCCCTAAAGCAACCCGCATGTCTCAGTAAAGCAATTGTGGGGTTTTTTGGGCAAGTTAATAAGGGTGGAGGGAAGCTGACCTCAGTGAGGACTACAGAAGGGGCCAAGAAGTTGAATTTGCTCTTACTCTACTCATCCTAGGGTTCCAGTTTCTTTTGGATTCTTCATATTTAGGATAAGGTTCGCTTGTTTTTAAAAAGACATAACCACTAGTGTCTTCCTTAAAGTAACTCAATGCTGTATGAAAACTCTTAAGCATTACCTCTTTAAAAAAAATGACAGGATTTGCATGGTTCAGTATTTTTCTTACAATATGTGCAGTGCTAAACTTCATATTTTCCTACGTGAGTGCTTTCTTTTTTGTATGTGTGTTGTGTATGTGTGTTGACGGGAGAGATGGCGAAGACATGGGAGCAACCCCCCCTACTGTTATTTTATTTTGTATTTTCATTTTAATAGTTTGTAATTTTCCAAGTTCTAAAGCAGCCTTTCTCATCTGGGGTTTCACAGAACCCCAGGGTTCCCGAAGACGTTGCTAGGAGTTCTGTGAGAGATCGCTATTGGGGGAAAAAAAAAACTTTGTTTTTTAACTTTGCACGCTGTGCAGTGCTAGCACTCTCCAGAGTGGGAACTTTCACGTGCCATGACTCAGCCCTTTTCTGTTGTAAATATTGTAAAATATGGATTCCATACCAAGTGAATTGTGGGGTGAAATGTTCATATTTTTTATGATTTTCTCATTTAGTTACTTATTGTGCCATTCTGTTTTATATTTTATTATTACTGGATTATCAGTAACTACAGCTTACTGATCATGCTAATGTACTGTGAGCTGTAGATATAAAAAAATTATGCAGGGGTTCCCTGAGACCTAAAAAGTATTTCAAGGATTCCTCCAGGGTAAAAGGGTTGAGAAAGGCTGCTCTAAAGTATCCTTTTTCAAATACGGTGATTAGAACTGTGCACAATACTCCAAGTGCAGACTGACCATACATTTATGTAAGAGCTGTTTTATATTTCCTTCCTAATTTTTTTTTTAGCAAGTAGTTCACTCCTCCTTCTTGAGCAGCTTCACACTGCGTGGGTGTTTTCATTCAACTATCCATTATGTTCCAGAACCTCTTACTAGCATTCACATCCCCCTAATTTATATTTGAACTTTTGCTTTTGGTGTGCTGCTATGCATCCCTTTGTACTTGCTTACATTGTATTGCATTTGCTATTTTGAATCCAGTTATCCACTTTGAAGAGATGCTGTTGAAATCCTCTGCCATCCGTTTTTGGTGTTATTATCCTGAACAGATTGACCCAATTACTAAATCTGGTCACTTTGTTGCTCACCCTTCATTCCAGATAATGTATAAACAGATTAGAAAATGATTCAATTCTGAATATTACTCCAATCTGAAAGTGGTCGGTGTATTTCTATTTTCTAGCCAGCTGCCTCTTCTTAAGATCACTGGTCATCCCTCTGCTGCTGAGACTGCTCAGGAGCCTTTGGCAAAAGTTGTTTGAATAGTCCAGATCTTCAGGATCTGTCCAGTCATCCCTGTTTATGTGCTTGTTGACACCCATAAAACAGTCTAGAAATTTAGCCAAGAATTACCCATGAAGAAGCCATCTTGGTTCCCTTTCACCAAGGACTGTTTTTCTGTGTTTGATTATTTTTCTTATTATTATTATTTCAAATGATATGATAATTTGACCTGGAATAGACGTTCAGCTAATTGTCCTACAATTGCCTGTATCTCCCCTCAGTTTCTCTTTTAAAAAGTAGAGTCACAATGATAATCTTCCAGTCCTTGGGAATAGATGGCGATCTTATACAGAGGTTGTGTATTTTTATCAGCAGGTCAGCAATTTCATGTTGGGTTCTTGGAAACCCTCAGGTGGATACCATCTGGCTTAGGATTTATTTATTTTTAAGGTGTCAGGTTTATAACCATCTCTTCCTTTTAATGAAGTCACTGTGTGTTGTGTGTGTACGTGTGTGCGTGCGTTTATGTAACAGAGAAAAAGTGAGCCAGAAGAAAAAGAATGGTCTTCTTACCTAACTGTGCTATCAGATGATATTATATGTAATAATAGCCTACCATCTGCAAAAAGGTATTGAAGAAATTATAACTGGTTGGTTGACTTGTGAATAATATTGGATGAGACAACTGAGCAGAATTCCAGTGCCAGCTGTGAAACATCTTGTGCTAATTATAAGCACTTTCATGGAGGCGGGGGACTTTCCCTGCAATGGGTCCGGAAGAGTTGGTGGGTCTTTGTCTTATTTATTGCTCTTCTGAAATACACAAACAAGAATTTAGAGGAAAGATGGTTATAGAATAAGGTGATGGAAGAATACTGCTGTTTAGCACACTTAGCATTTATAGCATAGTTTTAAGAAGGTTGTAGATCCTTCAGCAATATATACCACATAGAAGCTCATTGTACAAAGTTCTAAGCGAATGCACTTTTTGTGGGCTGGCGCTTCCAAAGCGATGCTAGAATTCCTCATCATGCACAAGGACCTGCAAGATAAGAGAACATTTCAATGGAATTTAAAAGCAGAGTTTCTCTCCTTCTCTGTTCCTCTCTCTTTCTCTCTTTCAGATGTTTTTAAGTTCCACTGCATATCCTGAAATTCATGGTTATTTGCATTTTAAAGAGCAAGGGAAGAAAACCTGGAAAAAGATGTATTTTTTGTTACGAAGATCTGGTCTATATTTTTCCACTAAGGGGACATCAAAGGTAAGATTGGCAAATACAAAAGAAGAAGTGTTAGAAATTGTCACACTTTTTATTTTTATGCAATAGAGATATTTTTGTCCTTTTAAGCCTGCAGTGATTTAGAACAATTGCCCTTCAGTTTTGTTCTTGTTGAGGAAGAAAGGTGAAAAGGTGGATAATCGTTATGATATAGGCATGGAATGAGCTATGACTTGAAATTAAAATAAATGAAATTTATTTATGAAAAACTCTATTGCTAACTTTCCCATGTTGAAGGATTAATGATGTTGCTCTTGAAGTATGAAATTCTTTTTTTAAAAAAATATCTTGTGATTAAGACTATAGTCCTATAGTCCCTGGGAGGGCATCACAAGAGCTGTAGTATTATGCTGATGGTCCCTGCCTGTGGAAGAAGTGGTGACATCCTATACATCAAAAGTGAAATTGGTCTGCTCTCAGAAACCTTTTTATTGGAGTACTAAAATATTGTCTCTTTAGTTCTTCCAGCTATACCCTGGAAGAGGACTGATGAACACTCTTCTTCCCCTAATTGTTTTGGAAATGGTGGGGATTCATTGGTTCTGGAGCTGTAGTCGTTAGTTTTCCTTCCCTTGGAATTGAAGCAGAGGGAAGATATCATGACCAGGGAGAAAACATCCACTGGGCTATCTGCAGGGTGTGGGCCAATGACAGGCATGACTGCATGATCAAAGCCCCGCCCCTTTGTATGGACAACAACATTGCTGCATGAACAGAGGGAGAGGGCTTCCATTACTTGGGCGGGTCTGCCATCTGGGCTTTTTGACCCTCCCTGCAGATTGGATACCCCTACATCTGATGCATGCTTGCCTAGGCTTTGCTTTAGGAGAAAGTTGCTATGTCACTGCATTACAATAAACAGTGATATCTAGTATTTTTGACAATTACATGAGGGTCACACTTCATACTGGGCCATAGTTTGCTTTTACTGTGATCTGTTGAATAAACCACAGTGACCACAAATCCTGTGCCACAAACACAAAACAGCAAAACCAAATGAGCCACATTATGGCTTAGCAGAATGTCTAAACCCAGCTACTATGTTCATTACTTCCAGCTCTTTTCATTTAGGAAATGTCTACTATTCCTCTTCACCGTGTAGGGATATTTCAGTAGTGTTGATAGAAGTTTGCCTGATCTAAAAGATATCGAGTAGTCATAAGATACTGCACACAACTTGGAGGAACTTTCCATAATTATTTGAAAATTCAGTGTGTTCCACTATTGGCTCTTTCTCTCCCTCTCCCTCTCCCACTCCCCACACACTTGGAGTAATAGTTTAAAAGAGGTACATAATAGTTTTATGTTTGTCCTTTTAGGAACCAAGGCACCTGCAGCTTTTCAGTGAATTCTGCAGTAGTGACATATATATGTCTTTGAGAGGCAAAAAGATATCCGGAGTACCAGCCACTTTTGGGTTCTGCTTCAAGGTAAGAATTTAGCATTTTAATAAGAGCCAAACATGTTTCAGAGAATTCGTTTTTTTTTCTTTTCTGCATGCTAAGGCACTTTTTTGATGCAGGGGGAAAAAAACCTAAAAAAAAAGAGATTTTGTTTGTGAAATAGGAGAATTAGTGGCCTTTATTTCAACAGGTATAGTCTTCAAGATATGCATTAATGCTAAACAATATGCTGTGGCCTTCTAGCCTTATAAAGCAGGAGGAACCAGAGACCTGAAACAGCTTTATGCAGACAGTGAACAAAGTAGGACCTGTTGGATGACAGCAATTCGGTTGCTGAAGGTAAATGTCTTCTCTTCTTCAGTTCATTGTCTTCACCAATTGTTTCTATAGTTACTATATACAATACATTTCACTCTTTTCTTTAGACTCTGGGTAAAAATGGTATTTTTAGCCTTCTGAAGCTCAGTGTTGCATGTGTATATTTCTCATCTGCACAATTATTTAAATAAATAATGTTTACTTAAAACATTAAAACCAATTAGGAAGTAGCACCACAAGGATGTAATATAAATGTATACAAACCACTTATAGAAATATGAAGCCAAAGCTCGCTAAAAATGCTGGGGAGAGAGGAAGCTCTTAACTTAGAGGAGTCACTAAAGTGGGTGCCAGACATGCCCCCCAGGGAGGGCATCCTGCGAGGGAGAACCACAACTGGAAAAGCACTCTGCCTGAACAAGCACTCCCTAGAGCAACCCACTTACTCTTAGAAGGATGACCAGACCACATGGGCAGCAATGCTTGGAAGAGGCGTTCCTTGAAGAAATGGAAGGAAGCTGTAGGAGAAGTGAATCACTCTAAAGGAGCCTTGCAAAGGTCAAAGAATCGCCTGAAAATGAAAGGGGCAACAGAGGATGCACGACTGATTTATGCACAAAAGCACCATCACTGGTTTCAGATTAGCAGGGAAGTGCTTGTTACTGCTATTTCAAACTTTTATTTTGCTTTGTTCTATCATAATCAGGGTTCCAAGGATGGGAAGGCAGCAGAGCTGTATTACATCTTTAACTGGTAGTGATAGGAACTTTCCATCTGGGACTATTCCACTCCAATAAAAGTGAACGTTAAAATTCAATTAAGAGGACTACGTTGCTTCAGGCAGTTTAGATGGATTTTTTTTTAATCTAAAATATGCAGCATAGATTAGAAAATAATAGAAATTACAGCAGATGCCAGTGAAGTTAAATAGTCTATAAAACATATATTTTTCCTCGAATGAGGTAAGGTTCATTGCTTACGGTTGAACTAACTCAAAAATCTTACCACAAAACCATCAGTCATTCGATAGTTATTATACCAATGTTGATTCACACAATACACTAAGCCATATTGGGGTTTCTTTGGTATTGATTTGGCATGTTGTTTGAAAACAATCAATTGTGGCTTAATCGCCAAACTTGAATAAACTATGGTTTAAGGCAATATGTAAATCCAGCCTACATATTTCTGCCTTAGACTAGATGTGATTTCTTTGTTAATATAAGTTTATTTGCACTTTATTCATTCATTTTTAAAATATTGATAAATTCTATTAAAATTTCTGTTGGGGCAAGGAGAATATTTCTATTTGGAAAAAGTAAAATAGGACATATACTTTGGCCCGCTATATATTTACAGTAATATTTCAGAAGGTAACTCAGCTTCAGTTTATTGGACTGAATGATTTGTTGAAGAAGTGATTGGGTTGCCATAATGGGTTGGTTTGTATATCGTATTAGGCCTAAATCAAATAAAGCATTTTATGACTTAGTGTGTTATGTGAACCAGGCCACTGGCTTAGATCATATGTTGTTCCTCAATTTATAGAAAAATATAGGTGTGATTGCAAAACGCTCTCCTAGTCATATCATGCATAATTTGAAGGGGTCTGCTAGGACAAATTTTCAGGGGTTGTAGATGACTACAGGAAAAAAAAAAGTGAGATAGGAAAAACGTATCCTGTGAATATTCTGTTTGCTGAAGGGGTGATCACTCTTGTAGCTGAAGCCTAGATAAAAACCTTTTTATACCTTATACTAACTCATGGTTTGCTTAACTAGAGCTTGTTGAATAAATCACAGTTGGTTGAGTTCACTCATCACACTAAGCCATAAACCACAGTAAATTGGATGTAGTAGTTTAATTGAGATATAATAATGCAGTCAAAGAGTTTGTTGTGATTTGGCATAACCCCCTGAATAACCTCCTAGAAAGATTAGTGTCTTTTAAGGGAGAAGTGGCTATAAGACTAGCTTCCTCCAAGTAACGTATAATTTTGCTCATCTAAAATATTTATTTCTATCATTGTTATTCCTATCCTGAGCAGAATCATCTGATCACATTTATTGGGGTCTTAGCAAATACATTCTTCAGCTAGCTTCCCAAGAGCTTATTGCACAAAATATGATTGATTTTTTAAAAATGCCTTTTGTTAATGCTTTTGTCAAGCCAGTCACCTAATAGCACAAAACTATATTGTGCATAAAGTGGGTGTTTAAATAATTACTTTTGTATGTCGTTATTTAATCACTATTTAATCATACATCCAAATCTGATTCAGGACCTGTCTTAGAGCAGCACGAGAAGAGATATTTAAAATTCCCAATAGATTTGGATTTTTCTAGGGTATTTCTGGATAGGATCTGGGGAAAAAGGGGGGCCTAATTCCACCCTGCTACTGCTTATAAAATACAAAAGCTTGATACCCTTTTGTTGTTAGGGTTGGAATCAATGAATAACTGCTCCAGTGTATTACAGGTTCTTTGTATTACTATTGGAATTGGCAAGCTGTAGGTTTCCTTAGGGATGTTCTTTCAGGTACACTGAAGTTTTCTGGGTCAGCAGGTGGCCCTGTTTCTTTCCCTATAATCTACTTGTCAAAGGATAAGAGCAAATCTAGGCAGACAGTGCCCTTTTCCTCCTCCTCCTCCTCCTCATCTTAGTTTTTGAAATAGAGACCTGCTCAGTTATTTAAAAAAAAAAAAGCATGAAAACTTGTTATTTCAGCATTTTGAGGATGCCTGTAAAGTCTGTAACACAGGCATTCTATATTGTTTTTAGTATGTAGCAGAACATCACACAATCCATGTTTAAAAGAGATGGAATAATAATTTGGCTTATCATTGTGACTATGATAATATTAAGTGATAGGAGTAGCCACCATGCTGAGTTTTCTAAATCAACATTCTCCAACATTGGGTCCTTTAGAGATGTTGGTCTGCAGCTGCCAGTCATCTTCAACCATATGGCCTAGTGGTAGAATTCATCTCTGAATGCCTGTCTGTCCAGCTATCTATCCATCTATCTCAATTTATATGATGGCTCATCTTAAATTCATGACTTTGGGCAGGTAACAATTAAAAACACCATGAAACACGTGACAATAAAAACAATGCACACATAATCAGCAGCAAAGTTTTGTTTTGTTTTTTAACACAACACAAATCAATATGGCCATTAGACAGGCTCTGCCACATATCCAGATCTCTAAACTGTTTAAAGCCTTAGCCAGCAGTATTGGGGCCAATCTAATCTCTGTGGGGGTTGATGTTCCAAAGGGT